CCGCACTTCCCCCCGGCCGCCTGTCCTCGTGCGCGCTGGACGACCTCACTGCCCGGTGCTTCTGACCGCCGGAGCTCGCCCTGTTGAAACGCTACGCGCCCGCTTTCTCACTGCTACGCGGAGGAACGGCCCGTCCATCGGGTCACAATTGCAAGAGCAGGGGTCCTCGTCAATCACAATCCTCGGTCTAGACTCGGAGCATAGGAGACTTGCTGACATAGATCTCAATAAGGTCCAATCTTGACCACGGTCTGGACGCCGCTGCCCCCAGCAAGTGCGGAGCCGCTGCGGCTTCAACTGCCATGACAATTCCAGGGTCCGCACATCGATCTCGGCCTGCCCTTCGGTGGGGAAGCCCGTGTCCCACATTACCCCCGAGAACTCGAGATGTGACAGATGCCATCGCGATTTCGAGCCTGTCACAATTGCAGACATGAGTCCGATACGCGGATATTGACGCCATGCTTTCGTCCGATCGAATCGTACGTTTTTCCGCGTATCGACTTTTCTTGAAGAAATTTTTTTGAAGATGCACCCACCGCTACGGCGCAACGGTCAATAACGCCCGGAATGCTTGCCGAGACCGGGATTTGCCAGATCTCCTCGGCCGAGATGGCCGGAGTTTTATAGGGATCGCGAGGCTATAAACAAGCCTATTAACGACCCTCGCGAACAGGGGTCCGCTGTGATCTCGTTTCAGCTGCCGATTCAACACAAGGCCTCCAGGTGGTGGCCTCGAGTACTGCTCTGAGCTTTCACGGCTTAGACGAGAATTTCTCCGGCTACAGAGAGGCGCTATTGTGAGAACACGTAGTACTGTAGCTGTACACGATGTTGCATGCCACCTCGCAGTCTCTTCCGGGTTGTAAATTTGAAGTGTTAATTTCGCTGGCAACTACTTTGAACTTTCGCGTGAATATCTCACCTCTGGACATCATTCTTCCGAACTTACGGTGAGTTGAAACCAAGAATCACGCTTTCATCTGCCTTTTCGTGATAATCTTCCTCGTACAAGCTCCTTAATTTCGTTTTCAGATATTGGTGGTGGGCCGTTGGTGAAAAATGGCGGTCTGTTTGTCCACACCAATATACTTGGTTCAATCATTGACAAACCCCTAATGGCGAGTCTTGCGGTCTTGCCACGCCAATTCCTACGTTGTGATAGACTTTTCGTCAACGTCTTTTCACCTTGACTACTCCGTAATCCTTCCACTTCGAATCTTCCTCCCAACACCATTTTCACCATGACCATTTGCATCAGATACTTTAACCACAAAAGATAACACAATACCACCTATATCTACAAACAAGTCTCACTACCAATCTTCCATTATTCTTCCACCTACTTCCCTTTCTCACGACTTTTGCCTCATGCAAGCTATTAAAAAAAAAAAAAAAAAAACTACCGTCAAGCGCAGTTGCGTCCTTGCTTCACCAAACTTTTCACCGCACAATAACCCGTATCTCGTGAAATTGTTTCCTTGCCATGCACTTGAAGACAAGAATATGTAGCCACGTGTCAATCTCGAAGACCGTTCCAACCGGCTGTCCACCTGCGCCGACCCTCATGCTCGAATCACACTCACGTATACTTTCAGCAACCCCTCACACCATCCTTCGCGCCGCTACAAATTACGTGTACCTTCAATCACTTACCTCCTCCCTCACACCGCTCCCATCATCCCCGTTACTCTTCCCAGCCACGCTCACAGCATTCCCATCACCATCAGCAGCGGACCCTGTCCGTTCTGTAAAATCCAAGTACAGAGTGCTCACTTCACTACGAGCCTGCACCACCCGTATCTTGCAGGCTTCGCACATTCTCACCCTGCGTGGTTAGGCACCGGGGGAGAATTGTTGGTTGTTGTCGGAGACGCTGGCGGCAAAAGGCAAAGAGCTGGCGTTGTTCTTGCTCATTATTGCGAGATACATGTGCTTCGAATATGGTTATTTGCGGAAAACGTGTTGGAGGTTGAAGATGATGTGGCAAGAACTTTGGCAACTGAGGGCAGGCGGACTCAAGTATTAACTCGTTGGGTTTCAATTTGCGGTAGATCGTGTGCTTGTTGGCTGGGTTTTCTATTGTTTGTATGGTCAGCTGGGTACCCAGAGGGATGTTTAGTTATAAGAAAATTCTGCTCGCATTGTGGGCTTTAATTGTAAATGCTTTGCTGGTTTGTTGCGGCACTGGGAAAGATTGCTCATAGATATTCACGTGCTTGTTTTGATAGAGCAATCAGTCAAAGTACTGGCAGTCAGTTGAACCCCTACATGGTGACGCCACGTGTTTGGACTGAAGACGGTGTGGTGCATGGCAGCAGTTCTAACGCAGAGACCAGAGCAGCTTTGCACAACTATTTGAATTTTGATATAAAAGAACTCTTGCCTCTTTGACCAGAATACATACCAAGCGGCAGCAGCGAACCCCAGAGCCATGTTCCTTTCCAAAGCCCCAGAATTGCTCTCTATCGACTTGATTGATCAAGGTCGTAAGTTTCTCCAGTTCTGAGCTGACCGACGGCTTCTGCCATTCCCCGTAGTCTTCGCAGGGAGAAAGGTGACTTAACTGCAATGACTGAGACTGTCTTTAGGCATACAGCTAATCAAGAAAAATGAGTGGGAGTGCGGAAAGGTATATTCTATTATAATTCCTAAGTTGTTTTCACTCGATTGACTGGTCCCGCAGTACCTTTTGATGCAACTCGACGATAACGAAATCAATGACGCCGCCAAGAGAAAAAAGGCTCAGAAATTATCCGAAAATAAACACTTACATAGTGTTCGGGTGATTCGCAAACTTATTGTGGTGGAACCGGGAGAGAACTCTTCCAAGTGCCTGTCAGCGCTTCCCAAGCAAATGAAGAAGACGCAGACTAACTGCCATAGTGCGGTGAATAAATACAACAATCAAGCAACAACGCACCCGAATGTCAAGCATCTTCAATGGCAGCAGGGGATCATATGGAGTGACAAGAAACCGGACCCATTTCCCGGAGAGCATAATTTATGCAGCCATGCGCTCAGAATCAACGTAGTGCCCAACACCAAGCATATCTCCAAGTTCGAGCGTATCAACTACGGCGAAGTTTTGGAAGTGAGCCATGATCATCGCGAGGTTTACATTTTGGGAACTCTTGATCTCAAATCGGTACCTTTGTTGAAGCATTATTACAAGAAAATACAAGAGCAAATCGACTCGAAGGCGCCTGCTGGCAATCCTGCAGAAGCGCAGCCTGCCACAATCCCACAGCCGGCCGCAGCTCCAATGCCGGCCAACATTCTGATACCTGCCCAAGCAATAGAGCTTACCAACCCACCTCTAAGGGCAAATCCAGCTCCAGCCATCGCCAGGATTCCTCATCGTGATGAACCATTAGGCCTCATCTCACGACCAGGGGGCTCAAGAGCTGCCGACAGACGTATATATTTCTATCCCAGTCGTGAATCCTCTCGAAAATTCCTGGGTCATGTCTTGTTTGATACCGGCGCCACCTCCAATTTAATGAGTGAGCGCTTTGCAAGAATGATCCAAGCTCCCATAGGGCCTTGCAGACAGTTTACCATGCACGGAATTGGGAAAAGGTCGGTTACATCATACACAAAATGCCGTTGGCAGGTCGGAAATCAGCAAAACAATGAGATATACGAAGACGACTTCTACATTAATACGGGCGACATGTATCCGTTGGATGCGATTGTAGGAGTTCAGGCCCTGATAAAATACAAGCTGATTAAATGGTATTCATAGACAGTGGCGGGTTGTTGAACTCTTCACGTTAGCTAGTATAATCGAGTAGCGACTTGTGAAAAAGGGTTAAACAAATGCGTAAATGAGATTTACAAGAATGTGGATAATGGGTCGTAGCACGCAACTTGAGTGTAGTAGTAACAAAAAGGCCTTCAGACTATGCGCTCGCTTACGCGGCCCGAATCGAACTTTCTTTATTTCGTGTTGTGAACGCCAAAAAGTATGGGGCCGCAGCTGCAAAAAAAAAAAATGCAAAAGAAATGTCCCTACGCAGAATCGAACTGCGGACCTTCGGATCACCTCTTCTGAGAAGAAGTCATATCGTTGATATGAGACCGACGTCATAACCGACTAGACCACAGAGACTGGATGAAGACCTGAGATCTTCTCTGTAAGGATGTCTAGGACACCCTAGTCGTGGGAAAGGGTGCAAAAAATATGGTATATATAGACAAAATCCACCTAGACCCATACATCTCCGCGGAAGTACTCGAACTTTTCGTCTAACTCCTCACAAGCAGTGGTACTGTCCGCAAGCGCAACGATGATTGGACGGTCTGTGCTCCCTTATCTGTCCCCTTCTCTGGGCCAAGGGTGGAGCCCGATTATCTACAGACTGCGCAAACCTATATTAAAAGGTCAACACCAACGTCCTATACAAGGCTGATCTTGAAGGGAGCCGGAGCCTCAACGGCAGCTAAAAATTCCCCGGATTCCGAGCTGCGCGGAGAAAGCCAACAAAGCGGCTGAGAACGGACCTGTCAATCGCGATTTTCTTACGTTATGGAAAAGCACCAAGCTTCGATGAATATGGTCACGTTGACCACACGGCGTCAACGCCATTTGCCAATGCAGACACGGCGCGTCATCGCCTCCGCCTCTGCTGCGATATTTTGGGACGAATTGACAAGAGCTCGGGAAGCCCGTTCACGGCATCTAACCCATTGAGCGTCAGCGGTGCGTTTGACAGGTGTTCGTGGGGTTCTGGGCCAGCTGCAGCAAGAGAGGAGGGCGCGGCTACGACGGATAACTCTCGACGCTTGTTCGGTTCCTAGCATGCGGTGATCCCGCGTTTACTCCGCATTATCCTCGATGGGCTGGCCCTTTTTGACGTCTTTGTAAGAGCGATGGCGACACCAGGGGTTCCTTCTCAACCCGTCGTTGCCGCCGACTTCCCCTTCCACGTCCTTTACTTTCCAATTATTCAACCTTCTCCCATTCCCTTCTCTTGCAATTGACGACGACGGCAAAGATGAAGCTGCCAGCTGCCAAAGACGTCCACTTCGACATTGACCAGTACCTCAACCGCATCGTTCCCCACAACCGCATTTCGCGCTTACCGAAGCCCGTCTCGCGCTTTCTGGGGTACCGGGACGAGCCCGCAGCGCCAATCGGCAACATCATACAGGCGACGTGGGCTCTCGTCGGCGCCTTCTGCGGCCTCACCGTCGTGACGGCCGTCTACAAGTTCGGTCCCGGCATAGCAAAGTACAACCCACCCGTCATAGTCGCCAGTTTGGTACGTACCATTCCCCCATCGGTCCCAACCCCAACCCCCATTCCATTCACCCTTTTTTTTGTTCTCCATCGCCCCCCAAAACACACGTTCTCCCCACTAACCCCCACCCCCACAGGGCGCCGCCGCAGTCCTAAACTACAACGTCATCACCACGCCCCTCGCGCAGCCCCGCAACGCCATCCTCGGCAACACTCTCTCCGCCTTAACCGGCGTCTGCATCGCGAAGCTCTTCATGCTCGACCCGGATTACCACCAGCACCGCTGGCTAGCCGGCCCGCTCTGCTGCGGCTGCGCGTCGTGGGTCATGACGCTGACCAACACCGTCTACCCGCCGGGCGGCGCGACGGCGATCCTAGCCGCGACGGACGCGACCGTCGGCGCGCTGGGCTGGGTCTACGTGCCCGTCGTGCTGCTCGGGTCGGTGCTGATGCTGGGCGTCGCGCTGCTCGTTAATAACGTGCAGCGGCAGTATCCGGCGTATTGGTGGACGGCGCAGGACGTCGGGAAGGATGCGCGGAAGGAGGGGGGGGATGTTGAGAAAGTGTCGCGCGGGAACGAGAAAGATGTGCGTGAGGAGCTGGGCGTCGAGGAAGTCGGGAGTTTGGAGCGCAAGGTTGTGATTACTGAAGACCGCATTTACGTTCCGGAGGGCTTCAATTTCGGCATTGTCGATGCGCAGTTCGTCGAGCTGCTGAGGGCTCGGCTGCGCAACAGCAGCGAAGGCGGTGCGGGCGCTGGATACGATACCCCGGCGCCGCCGTCCGAGTCCGGGTCGAATGGCACTTATCTTGGGAGCAGGGACATGCTGCCGTCTCTCAAGTCGCAGAAGTCGCACGAAGAGCCGTAGAGCAATCCGGGTGGAAGGAGTAAACTTTACACTCTTGGAGGAAGAGCGGAGTCGCCGTGTGGATGCAAGCCATGCAGCGAGACCAGTCGTGGCCAAGTTGGTGGGAACATGAGAGCTGCATGGACTCCAACAAGCCCCCCGCTGGCCTCAGAAACCTTTCCGGAAAGTCCGACTCTTCTACTTTGGAACTGGCTGCTGATGTTTCCGGTACTGGTCCCGATTGCCCCTCCCGAATGGTATCGAAGAGGAGTGAGATGGCAATGGGAAAGGAGATGGAAGCGGAAGTGTTGCTGCGACATTGCTATTGGAGGATCACGACACAGATCGAGTGAGCATCGGGCCAGAAGAGTACGCGGAAAAAGGCGAAGATGTCTGGAACCAGACGAGGGACGCATTGCATGTTGAAAATTTGTGTGGGGAAGCGGGGGAGTTGAAGCGGATGCACCTTGCGTAGTACACTGAGCTGTTGAATAAAGTTCCAGTGACAAACGAAAGGGTTGCGTCATGGCGGCTGTCGATTACAACTAGTCCATCTTTGGAAGTACGGTCCTCAAAGGTAGCAGCAAGACGTGTGTAATTGCGTTCGCCATTGTTTAAAACTTAAAGCACAGTGCAGTTTGCGGATTGGCTGTTATCTGGGACATGAGTGTATTTCAGTCTCTAGGACTTTGTCCGAAGAGGCATCAGGCGTCGCAAGAATCCAAGACTTTATAAAATTCGACCCAACGAGCTGGGCAAATGTTGCGCGTAAATCAAGCTCTGAGTTTTCTCTAAAACGCAAATAGAAAATTAGCCGATTTTGCATTCATATACCTAATGGATGGTAGAGAAGAGTTGAGGATTTGTTGGATTTCCTACATTTGAGATGCGCATGGTTCGCCTGGTATCAGGCAGCAGGCAGCCTTGCAGCCCCACGACAGATACGCGAAATTCGCACCTGAAGCTGTTGCCTGGTCACGGGTTTCAACGCACTTCTTGTTTTCGGGTGCGAAGAGAAAACTGAAAAGAAACCTGATGCAGCGAATACAGTCACATTTTCATCCACGAGAACACAGCGCAGACGAGAAAATGAGTACGTTATCAGCCTAACGCTTGTCAAGGTCGCAGACCAGAACTCTTCGCAACACACGTGGCAGTGCCATCGCCGCCCGTAGCAACAACTGCAGCCTGCCATTCTCTGTTGCTGAACAGACATTTCTCTGGTACAAGCGCACATCTACGTAAGTAAGATACATTACGCATGGACGGTATCAGGCAAATTTGCACCACCTCAGACAAGAGAGTGTCTGCTGACGTTGATGTACAGGTGCGGCGGCGATCTGTTGGTTGCATCTTTCGCCACCTGTCGACCCTTGTGTTGTATCTTGACTGCCTACCAATCCGACCTTTGGCGTTGCACGCTTGACCCTTCTCAAGATGGTTGCAGACTCCGAAACAGCATTCAGGCTGCGGGGGATACCAGCTGAATTTGAGAGAACAGAAGTGACCGATGCGATCGCGCAAATTCCTGGTTTTTCTCAGGGTATTGGCATTGAAATACATTCGCTCGCTTGCGACCCCGTGTATAAAGACAAGCAGGTTGGGACACTCGCATTCTCCCGTATTCCTGACTCGCTCTTGGGACAACGCGAGATTTCTTTCATCCCAACTCACGGACCGAGCAAGATTCAACTCACTCTTGATACGCATTTTGAAGGGTTTACCCCCCTACATCAGTCACTGGAGAAGAAGTGTGAAGTCGACATCATCGCAGTCTGTGGCCTCAATGGACATGCTTTCGGGTCCTACAAACAGAAAAACGGCGCATACATGTGGTTAAGAGACGGCTTGGGAACCGATCTCCCTAACGCAAGGATCTTAACATATGGATATGACACCAGGGCACCTTCAATACAAAACATTTACGATATTGCCAACACGTTCCGCAACCTCCTGAGGTGTCTCAGAAGTCCAGGAAAGTCGGGATTCCGGAGGTATCTCATCCTTCTTGGCCACAGTTTGGGAGGAGTGGTGGTGAAGGCGGCATTAACTCAGATGATTGGCAGCAATGACGAAACAGAGAGGTCTATCTTTGAGTTGTTGAGAGGAATCCTATTCTTTGGTGTGCCAAGCCAAGGATTGCGCATCCAATCTCTCATACCAATGAGGGAAGAGAGTGCTTGGCGTGCTTTACTCTATTCCTTGGATGATGAAAACTCTCCAACCATGCTGGAGCTCGGAAAAGGGTTCGCACAGGCTAAGAGATGCATCCAACATTGCAAGTACTACTACTTCTATGAAACAAAAAAGTCACCAACAGCGATATTGGTAAGTCCTCTTTTTTCGCTCAGACGATGTATTTTTAGCGGCATGAATCGCTTCAATATGGCCATTCTCATGCTTTCTACATCTGACAGAATTGCGCTTACCATACCATATACCTTTGTCTGATCATAACTTTGACTTACTCTACAGGTGGACGGAATATGGAAAATGGAAGGGCCTCTCGATGTCCTCGTTAATCCCTACTCAGCAACGGAGGGGCAACGCAGAGACGACACAGGACATTCAGTGGTTGCTGTCAATCGCACCCACAGCGATCTAGTCAAATTTCGTGGGAAAAACGATGACATCTACAACCTGGTAGTCGAGAGGTTGGTCGACATACGATCCCACACTGAAGAAATAGGTGACAGCTTTTATGCCTCTGATGATGACGACTTGAAATGCCTTCAGTCCCTATCATATCTCGAGCAGGATTGGCGCGAACAACAAGACGAAATCAAAGCAACTAAAGGTACTTGCAATTGGATCCTTGGACACGGCAAATTTAATTCTTGGATGAACGAGTCACTCAGTCTCCTCTGGATTTTGGGCCCTCCTGGAGCCGGCAAATCGACGCTGATGAGATTTATTGTCGAGAATAAGCGGACACACGCCATGAAAAAAGAGACTATCGCAGCCTTTTTCGTCCACGGCCGTGGAAGCGAGATACAGAAATCCCCTCTCGGACTATACCGTTCACTTCTCCATCAAATGCTTCCGACAAACCCTCAAGCCTGGATAGATCTTACCAGCACATACAAAACCAGAGTCAAGTCTAGAGGAGCCCACGGGAGAAATTGGGTCTGGAACGAAGGGGAGCTTCGTGAGTTCTTCATCGCAATGCTCTGTGCTACGACACACACTCGTCCACTCACCATATTGGTCGATGCTCTGGACGAAATGGGTGAAGAAAGGGCAATAAAACTCATTTCAGAGTTTCAGAAAGCTATGCAGCACCCATCACCGACTTTTAAAGAGCTCAGAATTTGCTTTTCTTCCCGTTACTACCCTGTCCTCCTCGAAGACTGTACCTCTGCTATTGCTGTGCAGAGTGAAAATATGCCAGATATCGACACCTTCATCGAACTTCACGATGCACTGTGTTTTATGGATGCGGCACAAGGACAACTCGTCGGAGGCATCATCAGAGATAGAGCCAACGGGATTTTCCAATGGGTCTCGTTAGTGCTTGGCTACGTTGCGAATCTGCGCCGAAAGAGGAAACCGAACTCAGCACTCATTGCAAAAATCAAGCAGGTTCCAACAGATCTGCAAGGCCTTTACAGGTCTCTTATTCTGGACGGGGATGACCTTGACCGAAAACAGACTCTCAAGCTTTTTCAATGGGTCTTGTTCGCTTCTAGGCCAATCACAGCCTCCGAACTCCGGGATGCTCTAGCCATAGACAAAGACATGACAGCTGAATCATTCTTGGAGCTCGAATCGGGCGAGAATTTCCATCGTATTGAGGACATGACGGTCGTGGTCCGCGATATTTCCAAAGGCCTGGCGGAAGTCACGGAAACAGGCACAGTCCAGCCCATTCACGAATCAGTATCGGACTGGCTTCACGAGGAAGGTCTTTACATACTCCAGTCGCCCGGTTCCGGAGATGTCGCCGGTAATGCTCATTTTCAGATTTCTCGGTCGTGCATCAAATACCTTCTGATCCCAGATATCCAAGGAACTACTATGTGTAAAATTTCATATCATTATTGGTCCCCATTCGCCTTCGAATTGTTTGAATACGCCCACTGCTTTTGGGTTGCCCACGTCAGGGCGGCCGAAGTGCACTCCATCCGTCAGAATGATCTTCTGGACCTCCTCCCTTGGCGAACGGACAATGCGTATCTACCATCCTCACTTCAACCCCGACACGAATTTCTGAGATCTCCAGAATCAGTTCCGAATGGCTATTTGGATACTCCAATATTTCGCAGGATCAGAGAATTTTGGGGCCGGTGTGATACGGTCACTAAGTTTGAATTTGAAAAGTGCTGGTCCAGTCACATCATTCCGTGGAAGCTTGTCCATGTTCTAGCATTGGCGGGTGTGTCTAGTGCCCTCAAGGAAATCCATCAACAGTTGCCAATTGTCTACGAAACCGGCACAGGAGATGGGGCGGAAATATTATTGCGAGCCCTTTTCGGATTGAACAAAGAGGTAATCCGAGAATTTCTCAGTGAACTGAAGCTGCGGCGTCTACACGAAGAACATTTCAGAATATCGCCCCTCTTCCTAGCCGCTATGATGGACAGAGATGACTTGGTGAGGGATCTTCTGAGGCTTGGTGCTGAAGTCGACCTCCCCCACAACCTTGACGGTGGTAATGTAATCACCGCCCTCTATGCTGCTGTATCAAATCAGAACAAGGGTGCTATCAGAGCATTAGTTTCTGGTGGAGCCAATATCGGCGCTCGATGCTATGATCGTACTGAACGCTTGAGAGGGGGCACTCCACTTCATCTGGCAGCCATGAAAGGTTGTAAGGAAAGCATTGATATTATGGTCCAAACCGACCTTGAGCTTCAGACTTCGAATCACCGCTCCGGATATCAACGCCAAGTCGACCCTATTGATGAAGATGACAGGACACCCTTGTGGTACGCTTCAGCTCAATGTCACATCGAAGCAATGCAACTCCTTCTTAGCCATGGAGCAGACCCCTCCGCTTGCGATAACAAAGAGTGTGACTG